GGTGCACACCTTGATTATCGAAACCTGACAATATCGCTGAGCCACCAGAGACGTTTATAATTTTTTAACTTTTTCATTAAATATTTGCAATGAAATAATGAACAAAATATAAACTACGTAAAATTATTTGGTTATAGGATACATTGAAATGCTACCATTTATTTTAGTTTTACGTGCTATAAAATCGAGCAAATCTGGAAACAAATTATATTATACCTAGTCCTTCACTATCAGCATCTTCTGAATTGCTTTCAAAGTCCTCCTCTGCTTCTGCTTCTTCTGTAACTGTAGAAATACGTTCAGACCCTCGTTCCGAACGACGTCCCATAGAGGATCGACGTTTGACTCCACCACCATGCAACAAACTTTGGCCAACATCCAGATGTTTCTCCAATTCGCCAATCTTCTTATTTAAGGAATCGAGTTGATCACTTATCCTTAAAAGTTGAACTTTCTCTTCATTGGCCTTCGGATAGGTACACAACATGCAAGTGAAAAGATTAGCCAAGCTAAAGGTTATACTTCCTTCTTCTTCATCATCACCTCCACTCAAACCGAGAAAACCAAACAAGTCGTTCGTGTTCTTCTTCTGCTTTTGTGTCTTTTGCATTTCTTCTAGTTCCTTTTTTTCTTGTTCTATCTGTTTCTTAGATTTTTTTGTTTGAACTTCACGAGTGCCCCAAGAAACGACATTTAAATTCGCCAAGGAGTACAGAATCAACAATAGGTACATGGACGGCACACTAATAAAGTAGAGAAAACCGGGAACTACGCACCAAAACTCTTGAGGGTGAATGACTGCGGCTATGAAAAAACTGCTAGATAATCCAATCAAGAAAATCGAAGAAGGAGAACCAATTCCGTCTTCTGAAAGTTGAATGGATGTACCAACTAGTACAGCCATCATAAGCAAGGCGTATGCAGAGCTGAAAATCTGAGCTATAAGAATCTGCCAAAAGTAAGCGATACATAAGAAATTAATACAAAAACTTATTTTAATTATTTTAACACTTCCCAATCGATTATATATTGCATAAAACGAAATGTACATCAGTCGTAAAAAAAAGTTTAAAAAAATTAAAATTTGTTTTTGTGATTAATTTATAATTGAAATTATGCTTTGTTTGGACTTAAACATATATTAATTCAGTTTGATCTTCCTTTTCTCAAGTCCTGGTCGTTTATAAGTTAATCTGGTATTATTTTTGTTACTAAACGAAACGGGGAAAAGTATTACAACTGAAAATATAACTTACAAACTTCAAACTCAAAGTTTATCAACCTACCTGAATGTTGTTGTTTGCTACGAAGCAGATGAAAATGAAAAACAGGATAGGGATTATATTAGCACCGAATGATGTCCAGTTAGAAATCTTGAAAGCAGCAACCATGGCTCCTACCAACATAAGGAAAATTGTACCAGGACCCAGGACAGTTCCAACCATCAACATAGCCTGATATATAATGTAAGGAACAGAGATGTTATCGTTAATTTCAACAGTTCGTTTGTAGTCACCCAACAAATCCATGATATTTGCCATGGTAGAGGGCGCCCATCGACGACGCTGGGTGTAGAACTCTCCAAAACCTTCAGGACAATGTGTATAGGCATCCGAAGCGGCGCTGTATTCGACTCTGTATCCTCGTTGAAGCATCAAAGTACAGAGCCAACGGTCCTCTCCTGTTAACAAAAAATTATTATATATATATATATATAAGTTAAAAGTATTTCAAAACTTTATTTTATTGCCACAAACAATATCTAAAATTACACATATATAAGTTAGAAGTATTTCAAGTTGATAATGTGCATTTGAAAACTATGTTTTTTTACAACAAAAAATATCTAAAATTGCACACATATACATAAGTTAGAAGCTTTTCAAGTTGATAATGTGTATTTGAAAACTTTTTTTTACCACAGATAATATCTGAAATTACACATATATATAAGTTAGAAGTATTTCATGTTGAGAACATCTCTGAAAATGTAAATTTTAATTGATAATATGTTATTTACGGAATTTTACCCACTTTAAATGATACAGTATGATTTCAAAATTTATCCTGATTCTGCTTTGTGTTTTAAAAAGCGGTTCTGTAGAATTATGGTAGCACTGAATGTGGTATCATGAAATATCCTGAGCGTCCTGCACATAGTACAAATATCCTGAACTTACCTCGACCATAATAGACAATTTATAGAAAGTTGTCTACTAGACTTGGCCATATGGTACACATACTTTTCTCATACTAATCATCCTATGTTTTGTTTAAGAATCATCTATTCACCTTGATCGTACTGTACGTAGTGTAAAGGGTCTTCAGATTTTGTAGTGTATTTCCTCATTACGTTGTCATCCATAAGAGCTTTCGCTCGGAAAAGTGAAAAGCATCCGGGACTACACAACACACAGCCAATCATGTGTTCAGTTGCCTTTTGCAGCCAATGACCAATAGCATACTCGAACTTCTGATACCACACCATGGGACCTAGATAACATATATAAACATGCTTCATTTCAAAGTCTTGCGAACATCTGTCCGAATATAAGAATCCATACTGGAATATGCACGTCCAGCTTGGTACAATATTTCACAAAACAAAATATTAACTACAGCATTTCGCGTACCAAGAACCACAATAGCAAAATTTCTTCATAATTATTCAAACATAGATTACACATCTGACAGACTCCATCATATTACAATAACGTGTTTCCATAAAAATCTGTATAAAAACGACTTATTAAGTGTAATAGCTAGATACGTCATACATGATGGAACACTACCTAAGTACCTCTCCCATTAAATAGCTACATTAACTATAGTAAATAAGCCACCTGCAGCTAGTGTTCACAATGTATCATTATAATATAATATTATGAGTGTATTAAAGGGTATTTATGTAAATACACTCCTAGTAAGTTAAACTAGTAAAAAGTGCGCGATTAACGATGGAATTGTTAGTGAGTGCGCAGGACTATCACACGGACCGTTAGCGTCAGTGATGTGTTAATAACGTACAAACAGTGTACCATACATGGGTCGAATGACATATTCTAAAGAATGCAAACTCTAGCCATCGTGTGAATACAACATTAAAATTTACAGATGCGAAATATTGTGAACATTAACCAACATCTATACAGAAGCGGAGAAGAGGTCTAAACTGCACCTGACCCCCCCCCCCCTCAAAGGACGAGACCGAAAACCGATTATGAACTCTGACTTGAGTATAAGAATCACATTTACCTTGAATCTTCATAAAGGATCGTATGTTAGCTAAAAAACAATAATTTGTTAAACATATGAATAATAAGTTGTTTATTCTTATTTTGAGCTAATGTTCACATACATTTATTTTCATTATCACTCAAATAAAATGTGTCCTAATTGTAGTTAACTATATTGACTTTCAATTTAAGTTAACAATTCGTAACATCAAAGAAATCAGCCACATTGTGTTAGTTTTCATTAACACGCATCTTTGTTATATTCTATTCTAATTACTTAGATAACGATTAAATAAATATTAATTGTAAATCACACAACAATAATGCGTTCTAAACTATTTTAGATTTAAAATACCTCAGATCGAAGCGTTTTAACGCAATTATTAATTAATGAACTGATATATAATTCTTGTAAGACAAGTGACGTACGAGAGCTAGATTCTTGTGAAAGAAGAGATGTACAAGGGTTAGATTCTTGTGAAACAAGTGACGTACGAGAGCTAGATTCTTGTGAAAGAAGAGATGTACGAGGGTTAGATTCTTGTGAAACAAGTGACGTACGAGAGCTAGATTCTTGTGAAACAAGAGACGTACGAGGGTTAGATTCTTGTGAAACAAGTGACGTACGAGAGCTAGATTCTTGTGAAACAAGAGACGTACGACGGCAAAATTCTCGTGAAACAAAAGATATAAATCCCAGTTTAAATCTTATAATTTACAATATCTCGTTTTTAGGTATGGTTGAAAATTTTGAGGCTAATTCAAACCCGTAATGCCAAATTAATAATTCGAACGTTCTATAATGCACAACAGCATTCTGTAACAAGTTTTTTACAGTAATACAACAAAATTATACAAAGACAAGTAAGAAACATAATTACACTAAATCCATAGTACGTTTTTATGAGGATACTAAAAGTAACTGAACTTCAGGACAGTCCAGATATATGTCACTGGCGACTAAGCCTTTTACGTAACTCTTTGTACTGTCATGGATACACATATCTCTCCCCCTACCCCTCAAGGACACTACCACGGAAATCCGGAATTTTATACTATCATGAAAGGGTCCCCCCCCCACGCTTCAAACTTGTCAAAGTTTAAGAGTTTCATGATTCGAACAAGCAATTAAATATTTAAAAAATGTGTTTCTGTTTTTGTGCATTTAAAAATTATCTACGTGGTGCCCACCGCAATTATCAGACCCCGACCTTGTCCGTTAAAAGTCCTCAAGCTTACTGATGAACCATCGAAGGTCCATCTAAAAATATATATGGCATTTAGAGACGTGTTTATATAAAAAAGTGGCAATGAAAAAAGTTAAAAAATAAGGTACCATCCAAGAAAAATACTCATTATCCCTTCTTTCATGTGAAGTACCCTTGTCAGCTGTGCACAATATGTATAATGTTTCTTTACTTAGTTAGACATGTATCTAATATGAAATTAATATAAAAATGTTTTCTTCATTGTACTGTCGTAACAGACTATTTAATATCTTAATTCAACATCTCCGCTATAATAAGGTGACTATACTACCTTTTTTTTATGTCATAGCAAACCAGGTTGGCTGGGCAACATTTATCAAAATTAAATATGAATTAAACTCTGCTTTAAACAGTCTTAAATTATTAACTTGAAAGTAAAAAGAGGCGAAGTTTATTTGTTTGTTTTGAATTTCGCGCAAAGCTACACCAGGGCTATCTGCGCTAGCCGTCTCTAATTTAGCAGTGCAAGACTAGAAGAAAGGCAGCTAGAGAAAATTATAACGTTCAAATGAAAATTTTCTATATCTAAAAAAGTAATATCCAATTTGTCTGTCCTGAAAATCCGCGCGCACTATTTCAACAGAAGTAAACAAAAGGAGAATGTAAAGATACTTCAGTAGACATTTTGTACAACATATTAAAAGTTTATCAAAGTTTTCAAAAAGATCTAACATTAGGTCGTAGAATAACATTAAGTTTATTTAATGATTTTGTTAAGTACGGTAAAGTTTAGCCCTAACTAAACTAAAGCAAAAAACGTACACAAGTTACAGTGTTAATTTATCTCTTTATCGAATATAGGCCGTATTTAATAATGGGTTAACTAATGTCAGGCCTAAGTTAAGTGGACTTACAGATTTCGGTGTCTGTGATTAGAATTCTTTTGTATTTTTTTATAAATCATGTATTTAAAGAAGTACTTTTGCAATAAAGATACTAATTTGGCTGCAAATGTTTCACGGGTCTCTGGTAGTTTACTACTAGTACTAATAATAATATATTAAATATTCTAGGCACCTGTTCCTACAGGATGGATACGACCACATGCTGCTCCTAAGTTTCGATTTTTCTTCATCAGATCTACTAGAAGCTGTACCGCAGGTGGCCTAAAGTTGATATCGCCATCTAGTGTTAATATATAGGTGTTTTCTGCAATTACTTCCTTTCTGCTCACGTCTATAGGGAGCTCCATCAGTCTGTGTCCCAGTAAGTAATACATGTACATCACCTAATGTGAACGAAATAAATACATATAGTTACTCTCTGATACGAGTAAGTTTTGATAAATCAAAAGTAAATATTTGTTCCTGTTTCCTATTGGCTACATAACGAAAAGTGTAAATTCCTAAACACCCCTGTACCTCAACACTATAGGTTACATCAATGTTGAACACTTTGCACACATTACAAAAAATACAATAGCCATGTATATTTCATCCATTTTACATCACATTACATTCTCCTTAAAAATTGGACAACTGTAATACACATCTTGGCTAATCCTGCCATAATGTAAGAACGTGTAAAAGTTTAGAATTTTCCTAAACTAAAACAAAGTAATTCTTTATTGAATATGCGAGAGGTTTGGTTTTGCCAGTATAGGTAGCTTTGTATGTATCTATATATGTGTGTTTTCTTATAGCAAAGCCCCACCAGGCTCTCTGCTGTTTCCCCCGAGGGGAATCGAACCCCCTCACTTTAGAGTTGTAAATCAGAAGATTTACCGCTGTCCCAACGGGAGACAGGTGGCTTTAAAGTCACAACACAAAATATCAATTAAAAATAATTGAATATTAACGTGCAGTAGTCTCAAGCACGTTTAGGGAAGAAAGCTATGTATTTCAAGAGAAGATCTCAACCTAATATAATAACGTCAGTTTCTTTCAGCTGTCTTTGTTTTGACTATTACCTTTTATTACGTCATACCTTAATCTTTGTAAATTTTACTTATTTCTTCTCCTCTGTATATGTTTGTATAAAATTTTCTTCTCCATAACAAATCTTGTACTGTTTATTGTTATATATATATATTATATGTATGTTGTGTGCAAACCTTTTAAGAACGTTGATGATGGAATGTTGAAATTCCGAAACGTTCGAAGATAATCATGTCGTTTGCATTCGTTTGTTTCTTTGTATTTAAGCACAAAGCTACAAAATGGGCTATCCGTTTACACTCCTTAATGGAATCCTTTGAATCTCTCCCTACTACGGGATTAACCTAAACTGAGAGCTATCTAACTCAAACAAAAAATACCACAATAATTTACACATTGTCGCTCCCAGTAATCTCCTGGGGATGGGGGGGGGGCGAAAATCAATGAGCACAGTGCTAAGATACTGTCGCTTACGTATTTATGTGCTTACGAGAATCTTTTCCGTGAGACTAAAAAAAACCAATAGATAAATAATTTCTTTTGAGTCTCATCGTGCTACTATATATAAAAGCATAAAACAACAATGAAGCTTTTTTTTGGTACAATGAAAGACAAATGCTTTAATAGTTGTTTCAACCGACTAGTTTCGGTAGCAAAGCGACCATCATCAAGGCTGCATCCGCAAGCAATCTGCTGGAACAAGTAATGAGGACTTTTATCTTCCATTGTAACAAAAACTGTCGTTTCTTTTACTTTTAATATTACAGTAGATAAATATTGTTCTTTTATACTTCACAACATTCTTCTTTTTTAGTTATCTCTACTTTCACAAACAAATGCATTATAATTATGTTTTTAGATATGTTTTTGCCCCCCAGTGGCACAGCGGTATGTCTGCGGACTTAGAATGCTAGAATCCAGGTTTCGATACCGTTGTGGGCAGATCACAGATAGCCCATTATGTAGCTTTGTGCTTAATTACAAACAAACCATTAGATATGTTTCTGTATGTTCCATATATCTAGGTAAGATTTCAAAGTCATTCGATGAGGGCGGGAATAACACCTAAGAGTATAGAAATACAAAATCTATTCATACATTCTGTCCAAATATCTACAACAGAGCAAGCTATAGCGAATGATGCGTTGTCCTATCATTAGGAAATTTATTATATCTCTTGGAGAGCTTATCATTTGATTTTATTTGTATGATTGCTTTGTTCAAGTAAAACTCAATCGCGTTGAAAAAATACAGTGTAATATATAATTGTGTAATAGTTGTTTTTTTTTGCATTCTGTAATATGTAATATATTTTCATTTAAAATATCCAAATGAAAATTTTCTTGTAAAGACATTTTGTAAAGCCAATATAACATGTACGAAATTTCTAGTTTTCTAATTACCATGTTAGTGATATCAAGGTAAACCTCTAAGGCTATAACACTAAGAACACAAAACATCAGTAGTTCATTTCTAAGATAGACTCGCAAGAGCTCAGTGCCAGGCGACTTCCATACAAGAGCCTGATGTTGACGACTTCCATACAAGAGCTCAGTGCCAGGCGACTTCCATACAAGGGGTTAATTCCGGGAGACTTCCATACAAGAGCCTAATGTTGGCGACTTCCATACAAGAGCTCAGTGCCAGGCGACTTCCATACAAGAGCTCAGTGCCAGGCGACTTCCATACAAGAGCTTAGTGCCAGGCGACTTCCCTATAACTGTTTCAAAAAGCTTATATGTAGGTAAATAAAGTTATCTACCCCATCCTACCCCCACCCTTTCCTCCTACCAAAATTATTTGTTGACAGTGTTTTTTCTAAGATTCTCCTGTCTCTGCTTTGGGCTCCATGATAAAACACATAAAATCAACGTCATCATGTCGGATACACTGCCTAAGCATAATATAAAGAAACACTTCCCTTTTTCTAGTAATTGGTTTATCTAATTATTTAATAGTTACAGCTAACTTAAGGGTTGATCAATTTGAATTATTCACCGTTCTTGATAAATTTTAGAAATAAGAGTATTTGACGATGATAAAAGCAAATCATTAATGCTTCGAACTGGATTTAGATTATAATGAACAACATGAATACCCAACACCATAATCTGTCTGAAGTACTTACTTGGCTCCATCTTTTTCGGTGCCTGATCTTAATTTTGTCTTTCAGATGAGCAATGAGTTTGTTCTTCCCTGGCATACTCCAAACAAGTCGTCCTCCATAGGGAGTTGGGTATTTCTTTGGAGGCTTCAACCGAATGTTTGTCTGATGGACGTTGCTGTAAAAGTTTACTTAATGTGATTGGAAAAGCTACTTGTAAAAATGTTGTTCACCTATCAATATACACAGTAATTATAATTAAATAAAGTTGGATATCAAATCCTGTAAAGATACGTTACGATATCCATCTTTTTAACAAATCTAGACAATAATCTTTTAGCATACATACTGCTTATCTAATACATGAATTTATTACATGACTCGACGATAAAGTTGTAGGGATTTAACAAAATCACTTGGATAAAATTAAACTATCAACTATCTTTGTCAAGAAAAAGCAACGTTTAATAATAATGAATAAACGAGGGTAAATTTAACTTGTGTTAAACGTTGTAATTTTGGAATATAATTTATGTAATCTACTTAACATTTCTGACAGTCATTAGGCATATTGTAATTTATTTATACTCACACGATCTGAAAATTTATAACAATCCAATTAAAACATGCAATATTCTAGCAGGTCTTACATAGCAAATAGTAATTAACAGTATACAAAATTTATAAGATAAATAGTAAGAGAATGCCATTCTGTTAAGCTTAATAAATTGGAACCTCAGTGCAGAGCTTGTGATTAAAGTTCAAACATGATAACAATTTAAGCTATAACTAAAAGTCGTATAAAACCTAAGTAATAGTTGAAATAGTCAATGTTTATTTCATCAACAATTTATACTAAATAGTATTAATTTAAACTTACGATCAAATCACCATGTGTTTCTTATTCTTAGCAGTAAAAATGAACATCCTTGCTTGTGTTTAAACGAACTGAAACATTGAAATGAATCATTTTACCATACGAATGGCTTCAAATTCATGGTTTATATTTTGGCTTAGCTGTGTCACAGTAGCCTCTAATGATGCTATTAGACGCTAATCAAATGTTCAAACTATGCCACACGTGAAAATATAAGAAAATGAATGACCCTTTAATTGGCTTATACAAGGGTGGCTAATTTTAAAACCAATGAATTCTAGAAGATGTATCATATGTTGGTTGTATGATTTACTTTCAGTAATTGTCTATTAAATCAAAAGTCAGCGGTGAATTAAAATTTTTTATTCTTAATTTAGTGATTTTGTTTGATTCAGAATTTTTACCCAAAGCTACACAAGGTCTATCTGCGCATGTTTTCCCTAGTTTTGCACTGATAGACTAAAGCTAGTCAACAGCACCCACCTTCGGTTACTCCTGTATTACTGAACAGTAGGATCTGACTGTCACTCTCACTACGTGTTCAAGGCGCCCCCTAGTGGCACAGCGGTATGTCTACGGAGTTACAACGCTAGAAACCGGGTTTCGATACTCGTGGTGGGCAAAGCACAGTTAGCCCATTGTGTAGCTTTGTGCTTAACTTCAAATTAACTTCGAATAATTAGATTGGCCATTATATTATAACGCCCCCACGGCTGAAAGAACGATCATCTTCGGTGATGGGATTCGAACCCGCAGACTGAGAGTCCGGTGTTCTTACAATCAAATCATAACGGGAAGGATACAAAGTAAACAGTGGTTGAAATGTTGACCATTGCGGAAGAAGATACGAAAGTGTGGATGAAATCTCACAATAGTTCTACGTATGTCTTAGTCGTATATTATTATATTTTAAGAGAGTAAAACTTTATTTTTCACACATATATACTATGAGTACTTCTTTATTATTTCTTGTAACAATTAAAGTTTTGTTATTGTTGCTTTGAATATAAAATCCAAAACTAAAACGTATTTTGTTTATGCTTCTGAATTCTACAAGAACAAACAAACAAACATGTTCTTATATAATTCACTTTTCCTTCACCAGACGGGGTTTCACATCATAGCTGTCTATTATACAGCAGTACAAGTTTGTTCAAGTAATGCAATTATTCATCCTGTGATCCGTGGTTGAATTTAGGTGAATAATGATACTTTAATGGCGATTCATAATGTAAAAACAAGAAATTATGCGTTTTCTCTTTCTTTTAAACCTGTTCCGTGCAACCAGTCGAGTTAAGTTACACGAGTTAAGTTACCATATGTTCAAATACCTTCTTTTATTGTTCTTCCTATGTTGTCACATTTTACAGATACTACGATAAAGAGAAATCATTAAATGACCAAAGAGAAATATTCTACATCGAAAACAGGCGAACTTGGCCACACTATAATAAAACAGTCGAACTTGGCCACACTATAATAAAACAGACGAACTTGGCCACACTATAATAAAACAGACGAACTTGGCCACACTATAATAAAACAGACGAACTTGCCCACACTATAATAAAACAGACGAACTTGGCCACACTATAATAAGACAGACGAACTTGCCCACACTATAATAAAACAGACGAACTTGCCCACACTATAATAAAACAGACGAACTTGTCCACACTATAATAAAACAGACGAACCTTCCCACACTATAATGTTGTGAAAGTAGGTATTGCTTCTCCAAGAACAGTGTTTTTTTTTAAACAAAATTCCAGACGGAGCAAGAAACCTTGCGTCGCCAGGGTAACGACTGCCCTAACCTGTTCAAGTTTTTATCTGTGGTCTTTCAAAGAGTGCACTGAAACTAGGTCATGTAGAACTACTTTTTGTAAGCGAGCAGGTGTAGACTGCTGGCTCTGTCAGTTCTACTAATCAAATTCTGCTTTGGAACATGACCTTCACGAGCTCCTTTCCACTGCACATTTTTCACATATCTAAAGGTAGTGACTCATTATCAAGTTGCAGTGTCGCTGATTAATTTGTCAGCGATACGATGGTTTAACAGAAAGTTAGAAAACAACATTCTAAAAATTAATGAACAAAATCATCCTTACATTTTTTTTGTTTCCTGAGTTAGTTCTAGTAAGTATAACGATCAGAATTAAAATTACAGAAATTAAACCTTACAATAAATAATATATTTAGATGCCATATTATTATAAAGAGGGATGTGTAACCATGTTAAAGTAAACAATATGTAAAAAATACAAGCTAAAACTAATAAAAAATATATAACTAATTTCATCACTGTGGTATAAAAAAGTACCTAACTCGATAATGAAAGATAATACGACGTAAGCCTATCACCAAAACACCATGACTTTCTCAAGATATTCTAAATTTGATGTTATCACTCGGTTGCATCAAAAATTGTTTGTTTTTTTCCACAGACTAATACTCTCATTTTATTAAATATTTTCGCGCCTGCTCATAACTCGTGACAGCTAGACTTACTAAAGCAGCTATACTTGACAGTTGACAAAAGGCGGATTTAACAATAAAATAAGATAATTAAACAATGCTAAAGAACACGTTTGTTTTAGTCTAACGGATTATAATTTTTTTTTTTACGGAACGCAACTTCCATTTTGTTACGCCACCACACCTTTTAACTGCAGCAATTCACACTAATTGTAATTACCCGTCTAAACTTAACTGGTCTATATTTAAAGTTTATTATAATCTAGATTTTAAAATGGGGTCATTTAAACAAGTAGTTCTTGTTTTTATTTATTTATTTTTCTATATCTTTAAACGTCAATTAAACTTCTAGCTTCAGAGCACATTTTCTTACACGAAGATAAAAGGAAAGTGAAATAAATCCATCTTCGATTATAGTAACGAGGTAGGCCTAATATGGACTCGTGGTTAAGGCACTCGATGCTCAATCTGCAGATCGCAGGTTTGAATCCCGTCCCCAAACATGCTCGCCCTTTCAGCCGTGTGAGCGTTATAACGTGATGTTTAATCTTGCTATTTGTTGGTAAAAAATAGCCCTAGAGTTGGTGATGTTGACTAGCTGTTTTCCCTCTAGTCTATCACTTCAGAATTAAGGTCGGGTAATAAGACAGACACCCCTCAGTACTTTTACGTGAAATTCCAACAAATAAATTATTAACGAGGACTTTTTCACTAACTTCAACTACGCTTAGATTATTTTTCGAATAATTATAATTAGCACGTCTTTTTCATGGATAAAGGTTTTTATACTTAATCACTTCACAAACATACCTTGCAGCAACGTCGATAACCCTTATCATTTGTTTCACGAAACGGTTTACAACCATTTCTTCATCATTGTCGTCGCTCAACTCAAAGGCATCATCAAAGTAAGCGTGAACTAGAACGGAAATTCAGATGTGAATGAAGAATTTCTCGCCAAATGTGCATAAAAGCTTAGACTAAAACCATTTTTACAAGAGAGAAATGATTATATATAAAACGTGAATGTTGAGAAGAACACATTTTAAAATGAAAGAAAACATATTATTACTGCTACATAAAAAACGGCACACAGAGAGAAAATAAACTCCACATTTTTAATTATTTTACAGTATAAAAACAAAACAGTTAACAAAAATATAGTTTTACTGTACGCGTAATGTAAGAAAATTAACAAAATCATTACAAGTTTGTTCATTTTTTGGTAATGTATACATTACTTAATATTGTTTCTAAAAATATTATGAAATAACAACTAATTAATTATTAAATACCTTCGAATTCGTAGTAATCGGGGTCAACAATGTTTAAGTATTTTTGGGCATTTCTTCGAGCACTCTGGTCTTCATCCATCCTTAAATAAGTTGGATAATCTAGTTTAGTCAAATTATAGGAAACAGAGAATATAAAAGTAGTTAGTTGTTGAGGCTGTTTTTAGGCTTAGTGAAAAATAAAGTAGACAGAATGTTAGTGTGGACATTACCCGTCCCATAATTCATCACGTGACAGAGACTCGACTTAGCTTAGTAACCCAACGTTTCCCAAAGCTTGGTGCGCAAATGAACTTTGGGGGAGCGAGCAATTAGGGTGGAGCCAAAAGTGCAATAATGCAAATTTATACGCGTTTTAATATATTTTTTATTAATGAAGAATAATAAGTAATTACTACAAAACCCATATATATATATATATATATATTAAAGGGGCGTGAATCACAAAAGTTTGGGAAACGCTGTAGTAACCCATCTTCAGGTCTTTGTAAAGGAAAATTACTGATATAAACCGAGTTGCTGTCAGCCATGACGACCTATTGTGCAGGTCAACAAAGTTTTAACTTAAAAACAATTAGCAACACTCTGGAGAGATAGCGGAGACAAGAGAAATGCTCAACGGTAACTTTTCTAAATCACTACGCTAAATGAAAACCGTTTTAACTCTTCGTGTCCAATACACCGTTTGTTTTAGGATTTCTCGGTTGTCTTTGGTTTTTAAGTACTGAATATACATCTCAAATACAAGTTGTATGATAAACAGTTAATAATATGATTCATCATATATATATATTTATATGGATTTTGTTCTTTTATTTCGAAGTGATACATCTAGTTAAGTAAACTGTGAAAAAATAAGTTTGTTGTCAAGTAAATCTAGCTTTTAGTACACTCAAACAAATTTAAATTATTATGTGTAATAAGGAAGGTTCCAGTTCATCTAGCATCACCTAGTAGCAGACATTTCAAACTTTCGGTTAGATCATTTGAACTGTGTGTGCGTGATCTATAGTCTGATAACTCCTGAAAAGTTACTATTTTTTCTGCGTTATTTTCATATTTTTACATACCTCATCACCGAATTCAACATTTGAATCATTTCGTCAGGCGTTTCGTGCCACATCGTTGCGCATGCGTACATTCGAGTAATATGATCGATGTTTCGGACGCTACGGCCGTTATGGCTACTCGAAGTGTCGTTAGTTTTTACAGAGATGGTTTCGTAGTATTGAGAGTTGTCATTATATTCGGTCACTTCCAGGTCGATCTCCTGCGAATCAACGTAAATTATGGTTAATACTACGTTATATGTGGTGCAAGTTTACTCACATATAAGATATTAGATCACTGCGAGTTAAAGTTATAATTTTTGTACTTAATTTGATAAAATACATTAATACAAATTTATGCTCTTCCCACCCCCACTCTGTATATTTACTTCATGGGCTTAACTAAATTCGTGGAAATGTTTGTTTGTGCTATATGCAAAACAAACAATAAAATCATTTTCATTTTACTTAATTCAGCTCTTTCCAGCTGACTAGCCTATTTACAGCACATAAAATTGGAATAAGCAACAAGATAGTATAAATTTCAGTTAGTTGAGACTGTTTTGTATCTTTTTCGCAACTACACCATGGTAGCTCTTCAGGTGTTAATCGTCGTTAAAACTTGGCTACTGATGATTCATACACTGAAAAATTATGAATTTTAGCGGTAAAAATACGTATTAAAAAAGAGCTTATGTAAATAATAAAATAAAAATTATTTCCACAGAATATAACATTAAACAGTTCTAGATATTTTGAACAAGGCTGATTTCATTCTAAGCTGTAGAAAGCACTGTATATAAACCACTTAAACAGCTTCGGCAAAGTACTTACCGAACTTTTAACCTCGGCTATGTCATCTCGTCTTCTGTTTAATGCAATGGATTGGTCCACTAAGACACCGATGTACATTGGGTTCACGAAAAGTCTAAAATGATACGAGTAAATAAACAATTACAGAAACGAACATGTCGTACGTTCAATTATTTCAACGAAGAAGGTTTTTAACTATTCTAAATGACTTACAAAACACCAATAAGTACTTAGTCTTTGAATTACCGGTGGGATCTAATCCCATCGGCATTTTTTTCAAAAAATTTTGATGGGCCATAACTTTGTTGGTTATAGTATCATATGAAATATTTGAACATAAATGTCATCAATGTTTCAATTTATGTCACCAAAACATTAAATTATTCAACATCATAAGTAGACAGAATAAAACAGATCGATAATTTGATTTTTAAATTACAAACACACAAAACATTCCGAGTTAAAAACCAAGTTTGTATTTTTTTTTAACTATCCTTGTTCAAGTTGGGGATTTAACGAGATACTTAATAAATTTGTTCAAACACTAGAACTTTGCAGAGTTGGGGATTTAACGATATGCCGACTAAGGCTATTCAAAAACTAGAAACATTATGTTAATGTAGCAATCTCCCCTTGATATATATTAACAATGGACAGAATTTAAAAAGTGTCATAAAATGAACATAAATATATATGTATAATTAACTAAAAGTTGCTCAAGATGCTTAAAAGATGGCCTAGATTTATTTATGTTTTCCTCAAGGCTTTACAAGTCAAGACATGTATTATAAAATGCTCTACACTTCACACGTTAAAATTTATAAAACGGGTCTTATTTTCCTCAACCTTTAATAATTTTATTACATTATTTCCTCAGTTAATATTCCTCAGTTTTTATAATTTTAAAACACTTATAAATAATTAATGCGCCGGTGGAAAAATTATTAAATTACCTAACGTTAGAGAAAAATTTAAAGAGTTAATTTTTGGTACGTTATCTTCTACAAACTGGAGTGAATTGTAAATTCTTACTTTTCAGTTGAAGCCAATCTTTCACACTTCGGTGTCCAGATATGAATAGCAATCCAGGTTTGTGAAAGTAACCATACCAGCCAAATCCATGCAAACTGTTTAGAGACGAAATCCTGAAAAAATTCTCCTTCTGGGCAAGTCCAGAAAAGGTACTTAGGGAGGATGTTTTCATAAAAGCATTCATTTTCTGTTCGAATACCACAGGCGCCGATTAACAAGGACATGGTTACTGGGACAGTGAGACTGATGGGAAACGCGAAGCTAAACCCTTGGATGCATATTTTGCAAGCAAACTTTCCAAAAACATAACAGAGTAACGAAGCACTGACTTGTATTAGAGCAACGTAAATAGGAGTCATCTCGAAAGAATCAATGACAATTTCTTCATCTAGAGGGCTAGCTGTGGGAAGATCAGGAAAGTTCGAATCGAGAACTGACTTCCTTATTTGGTGAACCGTAATCATGTGACTTTGGAAGCTCTGCTTGAACAGTCGGAAGACTTGAGCTGTATGCTCCATTGTTAGGGACAATAACGCTAACATGCTGCAAAAAATTATAATAATTTTCCATATCGAAATAAACAAGTACGTGAAATATCGGCTTCTGCGTAAGTCGTCTTTTACTTTGGAAAGTTTCTTGATAATCTTAATAGGCGATCTTTTATCAATGTAGTTTTCCCACCATCCAAGTGATAACAGAAACACTGCTACGGGAATAGCCCAGGAACGTTTATGGAGCTCAACAATTGGCCAGACTACAAAACCTGTAGCTTGTGCAATAATAGAGATAATATCCAAAATGACTTTTACTGAACGTCTGTCTTCCCCTTTATAACGAGACAGGAGACTGAAAACGGCAGGCATAAAGCAAACACAATTTGTAAGCATGACTGCCTTTATAACATCCAAGTCTGGAAGAACTACAAATAACAGAAGGACTAGGCCTAGAACATGCAGTGACTCCATAATTAAAACCTGTAAGGGAAAATGTGGATTTTAGTGCATAAATATTTCTAAAGATTTTGCAAAATTAAAGCAAGTTATCGCAGTTCAAGCAATGTTCAAATTAAACGCAATATCTCAAATTTTATAGAATATAAATGAATATTTTGAATTCAAATTTCAAACTTAGGGAATTTTTATTTCTAATTTATATTGAAACCAGAATTTTTCGAAAAAAAAACGAAACGGAAAACATTATTATCCTTCTTTCCTATTATAGAAAAATAGTTTATTTCCATAATCTTTAAGAATTTCGGTTATTTATGTTTAGTTTTGTTTGTTTTGAATTTCGCGAGAAGCTACACGAGGGCTATCTGCGCTAGACGTCCCTAATTTAGCAGTGAAAGACTAGAGGGAAGGCAGATAGCCATCACCACTCACCGTCAACTTTTGGGCTACTCTTTCACCAACGAACAGTGGGATTGACCGTTACGTTATAACATTCCCACGGCTTAAAGGACGGGCATGTTTGGTGGGACGGGGATTCGACCCTCAGATTGCGAGTCTAGCGCCCCTAACCACCTGGCCATGCCGGGCCTTATGTTTAGTTGAAAAGTGGTGTTCAAACTTTTTTATTACAGATTATCTGTAAAATTATTTCCTGAAGAGCTACTTTTTAGATCACGAAACACACAAAATAATAAAGAGATAAAAAACAGAAGACTTCGATTATTGTAGTGTGTTTGTTATTTATATCTGTAGATGGAAAACTGTATGTGTTTTGATTATACATAGTCTGTTTTAGCGAGAGCATTTTCTGAAATATGAATATTTATTTGTATGACAAATAATGTAAGGGTTTTTACTATACGAAATCTGCAGTTAGCTTTATTGCAATTAAACATTGCAACTACTAAGTATAAGGAGATAAGTAAACAAGCAAATGAAAACAAAATTTATTTCAATCTTGAATACTGAATAAAAATTGTTTGGTTTGAATTTTGCGCTAAGCTACACGAGGGCTATCTGCGCTACCCGTCCCTAATTCAGCGGAGAAAGACTAGAGGGAAGGCAGCTAGCCATCACCACCCACCGCCAACTTTTGGGCTACTTTTTTACCGAGGAATCGTGGGATTAACCGTCACATTATAACGCCCCACGGCTGAAAGGGCGAGCATGTTTAGTGGGACGGGGATTCGAGTACTCTAACCAACTGATTATGCCGAGCCTTGACTAAAAAAATGATAATAATAATGAACTAGCTGTAGTTTTTCTTCTTCTCCTTGACGTTGTCATGATTTCGATAGAATTAACATTTTTAACAGTCTAACACCAACGGCTACAACAACCTTGTACCCAAAGTTTACTTGAATATATATATATTCACGATTTAAAAAGAAATAATAATAATTAGGTTGTTGCTTAACCCAGAACACGGTTCTATTACATTAAGCAGATTCCCGTAGTTATTAACTAGTGTGTAGAAAAACTATACCAAAGAAACCTGTATACGAAATACTCAAGTACTTGCAGTTCACACAGAAAATATCAAGTGCATACAGTTCACACAGAAAATATAAAGTACATACAGTTCACACAGAAAATATCAAATGCATACAGTTCACACAAAAAATATAAAGTGCATACAGCTCACACAGAAAATATCAAGTGCGTACATTTCACACAGAAAATATATTACTTGTAATGCAAATATACATATTATTTTAAAGAATTCTTGAAGTTGAAAACCGGATGTGGTTATCTAAAAGATTATCTCTTTTCTTGCTGTTTATAACATCGTTTTTTTTTCGTTGTCCATATATGTAGTAAATAGCTGAAACAAACAACGTTCTTATGTTTATTCATATAATAATTATATTATATTGTTATATTTCTTATTTTCGAAATAGTATGAAAAGGAAAATGGCGTCAGTTTTTACAAGTGACGTTGTAATATGTTGATATCATTTTTTAAAAATAAAACTATATAATTATATATTATCATATTATTTTACCGTAAGAAAAGTTAGGAACTTGGGTCTTCTGTAGGACTTGAAGACGCATATCCTGAAGCTGCGGAAAAGCGTAAACAGCTCAGGAATTATCATCACAAAGAACAAACACCAAATCCATGCTACTTTTTCCATCTCTGATATTTGCGCTCGATAATCCTTGCCCCTTTCGAGACCTGGAAAAATTTACGATGTTCCGGTAAAAACCACTTTTATATTCCTTTTTTTTAATTCAATACGGCATTACAGTAGCAATGTAAGATTAGGGATAATGTTGATATTACTTGGAAAATGTAAAACAATAACTAATAATCTTTAATTTATGCTTTATCGCAAAAAAAAAACAACGTTTATTCAGGATAAATAATAAAATTAAAAGAGATAAGTCTATTATCATTGAAATAATTGATTTTTTTGCACTTGCGCAATTTAAAAACAAGAAATAAAATAATTTTAATATTTTCCCCTTAACATTATTACTCATATTACAAACCAAAAACTATGTGTAAAGAAAGGCAAAATCATAATTTAGAATAAAAGATCAATATACTATTCTACCCGAAGTTTTGGCCTTTTCAAAAGTCATTTATTAAAGCAGTGATAACGTGTACAACAACAAGTCAGTACTTATAGTTTTGTCCTTTTCAAAAGTCATCTATTAAAGCAGTGATAACGTGTACAACAACAAGTCAGTACTTATAGTTTTGTCCTTTTCAAAAGTCATCTATTAAAGCAGTGATAACGTGTACAACAACAAGTCAGTACTTATAGTTTTGTCCTTTTCAAAAGTCATCTATTAAAGCAGTGATAACGTGTACAACAACAAGTCAGTACTTATATTATAATCGTGAGAATTTTCTATAGATATATTTTCACTTCTAGTTATTTTATTTCGTAAGTTTTAAGATTTTAGCAATAAGGTTTGTACAGATATTTACAGATTAAGATACTGTTCTGGTAATATCTCTTCGTGATATTTCAAACAGTACAAACAAAAAACAATAATAGATTTAAATTTAACCATTCTTTTCAAGAAATCAACTCCAGATTCAGAATTCAAGCTTTTAACAGGAAATAGATTTGAGTTATCTTTTCCCCTTTGTATCCCTTACGGAACTGCCATATTCATATTGATTATGGCAGAAACTATATTAGCTATTAAAACATTAATGTTCATGTATATATATATATATTAATCATGGCAGAAACTATACTAGCACATCAAAATATTACTGTTTACATACGTATATATATATATTAATTATGGCAGGAACTGTATTAGCAATTATTATATATATATACGTATGTAAACATTAATATTTTGATGTATGGCGGGAACTATATCAGCTTATTAAAACTTACCCATTCCCTTCTTACAGATTGGAAGCGTTCGATCTTCTTTAATATGTGACGTCATAAAGAGCATACTCCCTTTCGAGATAACCGCAGTTGTAATTACACAGATGAGTGTCCCGATGTAGACAACAATTTTGACGATTTTAAGGACAATTTCTACGGTCTTCGAAGTCAGTGTAAGATCTTCCTCCTCATCAGGCTTATCAACAAAAACATCCCATCCTCTCGTTTCTGGTTCACTCCGTCGGCTACAACACGGATGACAGTTAGCGCCTTATTGATATACTAACATCGTTTAAACGTATTTTTCGTGATATAAAATAGTTACGTATCTGGATATTCTATGAAATGTTTGATCATACTTTATTACTAGTACGTTTGGACTGGACGTTGCCAAGTGGTTAGCGTGCTCGGACTGTAAATACGAGGGTTAATGATTCGCGTCCTGTTGCTGCAAAAATGCTCTATGCATTTTAGGGCTGTGGGTGCGCTATAAGAGTAATAGTCAGATCTCCGCTATTCGGCGAGACTAGAGTAACCCAAGAGTTACGTTTGCAGTTAACTAGGTACCTTCCCTTTATCTAATAGTTCTAAGTTAGGGATGGCCATACACGGATTGTTATTTTGTTTAGTATAATTTTGCTCCGATAGGCTTCAGCGTTTACTGTATTAAGTCTTAACTCACCCGTAGGAAAATGTGATTAAAATCAAATTTACTAAATTCTAAAACTGTTTTATGCGCATGAGGATCAAGAGTGTGAGGGTTCATTTTCTTTAATATTCTAAATACCCTAAACCTCCCCCCACACACACATACAGATAAGTCTAAAGGCTTATAATGTTTTGATACCCGCAATGGACACAACATTGTATAGCTTTGCGCTTGACAACAAGACTTGATACACGAAAAAATTTGTACAACTTATTTTCAAAGATGATTTTCCATGTTCTAGCGAATTTTTAACTAAATCAAAATCCCCCTTGATCAACCATTAGGGGAACACAGACTGAAAATGTTGGAAATCTAAATTTGCATATTTATTTTCAAACTCTTTGGTCTTCCATTTGCTAGCCCTTACACGAAATTTTCGAAAATTAAAAGTAAGTATTTATTTTGAATAACCACTTATGTCTCCTGAAAGACAAAAAAAAAAAAACTTAATCTCCCATTTTTGAGGCACCGCTCACGACTGTTTTGGATTTTTTATATTCCTTTATGTTTTCTGGGGATCAATAGTGTACGTGAAAAAGTTCCAATTGTTGTGTAAAACTGTGAAAGTTCGAAAATCAAACACACATAGATACATATATACATAGATGCCAATGATAATCACTATTCCTCTTGCTGGTGGTTAGGGCAGTCGATTCGCAACCTGTGAGTCTCCAAACATGCTAGTACTTTCAGTAGTGGGAGCGTTATAATGTGTTGATTAATCCCACTATTAGTTGGTAAGAGTAACCAATAAGTTGCGTGTGGGTGCTGCTGACTAGCTGCCTTCCCTCTAGTCTATCACTTCAAAATTTGCACAGATATCCCTCGAATAGCTTTGTGTAAACTCAACAAAAAACAAATTCACTATCAATATATAAACATTGCCATTAAGAAAAAAAAATATTATCTGAATATACTTGTACACGCTTTTACTGTTATATATA